GTCATGTACAATTCCTAAATATATAAAAAGTTTACACTAACAAAGGTTTGTTTTGAAAAAAAAATCTTTAGTTAAAAATAGTTTAAAACCATGTGTATTATTTATTTTCTCATGGGTTTGCCTAAATGTCGTTATCTGATTAGTCAGAAAGATTAGCACCTTGTTAAGTCTCTGGATTTATAACAGTTTATAATCATCGTTCTTGACTTGAATTGTTGAAAAATGTCAAAACTTGTTAAAGATTACCAACAGATGATTATCTTTTTTGCTTTCATTTTATAGTTGTACAAGATAGATATCTGTTATTCTTTCAAAGGATGAGTATGCAAAAAAGAAAATCAAAAAAACAAAGAAAATCCATTCCAGATAACATATCTAAAGATTTTGATCATTGATTAAAAATAGTTGTACACTCAGAAGTAAACCGTGGTGATAAATATTTCTGAGTTCTTACTTGTATTATTCAGATTTTTCTTTTTGAAGATACAAAACAGTATAAATAATATAAACGGAAAGAGCAAATCGGACTTATATATCATAGACTAGCTGTTCTTGATCAAACTCTGTTTGTTTATTAAACACCACTCTTTCATCACTCTTTCACTTTCCATATTATTTCTTAACCCAAAATTTTTCTTACATACTTTATTTTACTCTTAAAAAATACTTAACAAAACGTTAAATTTTTGAAGTGCATGTATTTACTGATAACAAGAGGCCCATGGGCCACATCGCTCACCTGAGAAGCTTTGGCCATTCTGTTCTTTACCAGATTTCCCCCTTGTAATACATATTGTAAACCCACCCCACCTAACTGATAATAATTAAAACAATTTGAAATCTACACTACCCCAGTATGCTTCCATATAGGTTTCAGCTTTGATTTTCAGATTTTTGCTATATATTTCTATGTTAAACATTGAACCAGCATTGTGGCCCCGCCCAACCCCCGGGGGTCATGATTTGAACAATTTAGAATCTACACTACCCCAGGATGCTTCCAAATAAGTTTCAGCTTTTCGGGCCCAGTGGTTCTTGAGAAGAAAATTTTCAAAGATTTTTCCTATATATTTCTATGTAAAACTGTGATTCCCCAATGTGGCCCCACCCTACCCCCGGGGGTCATGATTTGAACAATTTAGAATCTACTCTACCCTAGAATGCTTCCACATAAGTTTCAGCTTTTTTGACCCAGTGGTTCTTGAGAAGAAGATTTTAAAAGATTTTTCCTTTATATTTTTATGTAAAACATTGATTCCCCATTGTGGCCCCGCCCAACCACCGGGGGTCATGATTTGAACAATTTAGAATCTACACTACCCCAGGATGCTTCCAAATAAGTTTCAGCTACTCTGGCTCAGTGGTTCTTGAGAAGAAGATTTTAAAAGATTTTTCCTTTATATTTCTATGTAAAACTTTGATTCCCCATTGTGGCCCCGTCCTATCCCCGGGGGTCATGATTTGAACAATTTAGAATCTACTCTACCCTAGAACTCTTCCACATAAGTTTCATCTTTTTTGGCCCAGTGGTTCTTGAGAAGAAGATTTTCAAAGATTTTTCCTTTATATTTCTATGTAAAACATTGATTCCACATTGTGGGCCCCGCCCTAACCCGGGGGGTCATGATTTGAACAATTTAGAATCTACGCTACCCCAGGATGCTTCCAAATAAGTTTCAGCTTCTCTGGCTCAGTGGTTCTTGAGAAGAAGATTTTCAAAGATTTTTCCTTTATATTTCTATGTAAAACTTTGATTCCCCATTGTGGCCCTGCCCTACCCCTGCGGGTCATGATTTGAACAATTTAGAATCTACACTACCCAAAAATGCTTTCAAATAAGTTTCAGCTTTTCTGGCTCAGTGGTTCTTGAGAAGAAGATTTTCAAAGATTTTTTTCTATATATTTCTATGTGAAAATTTGATTCCCCGTTGTGGCCCCGCCCTATCCCCGGGGGTCATGATTTGAACAATTTAGAATCTACACTACCCCATGATGCTTTCACATAAGTTTCAGCTTTACTAGCCCAGTGGTTCTTGAGAAGAAGATTTTTTTAATGACCCAACCCTATTTTTGTCTTTTCTTGAATATCTCCCCTTGCGAGGGGATATGTCCCTTCATTTTAACAATTTAAATTCCCCTTCAACCAGGGATGCTTTGTACCAAGTTTGGTCGAAATTGGCCCAGTGGTTCTTGAGAAGAAGTCGAAAATGTGAAAAGTTTACAGACGGACGGACGGACAGACGGACGACGGACAAAATGTGATCAGAAAAGCTCACTTGAGCCTTCGGCTCAGGTGAGCTAAAAAAAAATAAGGGGCCATAGGATAAGTAGTAGGTCATAAACTTTGTTATTTGAAGGTAAAGAATATGGCTACCATCAATGTACAGTAGGTTTTTCTTCATTTTTTTCACGGGAATTTATTGCTATCTGAATAAAAATCGTCTTTAAATGAATATTCTGAATGACGAGAGGTTTAAAATGATCAAACTTAGTATGTTGTTGTGTTAAAGCATGGACGTAAACCTTGGAAATCACTGTACAGGCTCCAAGCGCCGTGAAAGTAAACTCTTACAATTCTATTTCATGTATAAATGTAAATGAAATACAATCACTGTAGAATTTGTTGAGTATAACAGGGAAATCAACGATTGTTGGAAACTTTAGAGAAATTTATGCATATCAAGTTAGGTCGTAATGCATAAATTATCCCGCGTTTCCAACTATTGTTAAGACCTTGGCATTCCAACCAAACTTATCCATAATTCCTTTGATATTTCGAACATGAAAAGTTTAAGTACAACCTTCGCAGAAGAGGTAATCAATAAATCAGCGCATAATTCGACCCCGATGCAAATTACGTTTCTTCCATTACAAACACAATTATAAAACGACGGACAAATTCGATTCAAATTCCCGAAAAAATTCTTAAATCTCCGTATAATTTTATTGAATTGATGAAATTATTTATTCAATTTAGCGATCAAAATGCAAAAGTGTCTGCATGCAATCTCACATCAATGTTCCGCACTGGGAGTCAAATACATGTAGATATCTATTTAAAAAAAAATCTTTATTTGGTCCCCTTTCTTTAAAACAATGAAAATCTTAAATCAATAGTCTTCCGTGAATAATTGCATAACTATGAGTAGTCCTCAATGATAAACCACAGCTGTAAAATAAGTTATATTATACAATTAATATATATTTTTATTAATTTCAGTAAAACTTCCATCTGTTGTGTTTTTTGAGGAAAATAGGAATAAATTTGTGGAATATGTGAAGAAAATTTCAGAAGAAAAACAAGTTTCCATACAGTCTTTGAACCTTAACAGTCTTTTTGGTTGGTTTTTAATTGGAAGAGATCACTACAGCTCTGAAGGTAAGATAACGTAAAATCAGATGTGTTAGTAAAATAAACTTAGGACGAGTCAAAGGGTATTTTTTTCTCAATCAATTTTCCTTATTCAAAGATAAAGAGAGAGTGATAAAGGTAGAGAAAGATTCTTGTAATTTTTCCTTTAAATTTATTTCAATGTTGATCATTCCTTTTCTCAATCCACCTTGATAGAGCGTAATTATTTTTTCTTTTTAGCTACTTCATTGGAGTTTAAAATTACTGATTTATAAAAAGATCATGATTCAATGTCACTAAAATTGAAAATACTTTTCCGGGTGTAATTTTATCATTTCATTAATTATATACAGAGAAAGTCAGGGTTTGTAATCCATTGAGCCTAATGAAATATGCAGATTTGAAATGTCTTTGTTGTGAACACATTAACACATTGACCAACTAAACAAATTTTAACAAGTCTGCATGTAAAATAATGCATAGAGCGACGGTTTTATAATCAAAATGTTATCATCGACCACAATACTCACATATAGAAAGTGTATGCTTGTATCCGGCTATATGAGCCAGCGAAACATATTGTTATACAGACTGAAGTTATGTACAAGTACAGGGATGCTAGTGAATGAATGTAAAAAAAAACCATCGAACATAATTGTTTGGAAAGAATTCGAGAATTTATTCCTATTTTTTTTCTTATATCATCATATATATTACACATGCATTCTGTTAAATCTCCCAGTCTGGGAATAGAATAGACAACTGGGAAAAAAGTTAAAGAATGTGTAGTAGTAAAACTTCAATTTGAAAAAAAAAGAAAGTATCACTACATCATAAATACCCTCTGAAATACATAATCACAAGGATTTGTAGTTATTTATGCTTCTAAGGAGTAAAGTGAAATAAATAATTAAAATAGACCTTGATTGAGTTTCTTCTTTTGTGTGTGTGATAAAGCTGTCTTTTTGATTGTTATTGTACATTTTTTTCCGATTCTGATTTGAAAAGTTTTAAGTTAGGATTCTTCTCACATTTTCTTGTATTTAAAAATGAATGAAATTTTTACAAAATCAAGAGAACAATATCACTAAGGAATGGTATCAGTGAGATTAAATTTGACCGTTTAATGTTAGAAGCAAGGTCAGGTCAAAGTCAAAATGATACAAAAACTAAAAGTTTTGATCGTTTACTAAGAGAGAAATAACACTTTTTACGGATTTTTGGCTCAAATTTGTACTTAGCTTTGAAGCATTTAAAAGCCAACATAGTTCTAGTATGTGTGAAAAATCTTATGTATTTGATATTTTGAAACTTTAGTCCCCTATCAGTAATTTAACTTACATTTGAAAATTTCGTCTAGTCTTTGATTGCGTAAAAAATATAACTGAATTCAGGGTTCTATAATGATTTTGAGAGGCATAAAAGAAGATATTTTCTTACGCCACCATTCCGCCAAACATATAGTCCTTACTAGTTTTCAAACTCAACTTACCATTTCTATTTAAAATTGTGTAAATGTGATGAGGAAAGAAAAAAAATATGGTCTTTTAAATCTCTTACATCTGAGTATATAAGACATATCAACAAAAGTACTTTAAATATTCCATCGAGCCAGAAACCAAAGAAGAATCCTACCTTAATATGAAAAATGCAATAATTCCAATATTCATTTTATTTATTGATTCTTTATGTTTTGATTGGCAAAAAACATTTTTTAGAAAAAAGTTTACACATCAATAAAATTTTCAACCAGAAATATTTTCTTGACCAAGCTTCTGGGCTATGGGACATAATTTTTAACATTTTTTACAATCTAAGCTATTTCAGAAAGATTCACGTGCACCTGCATGTCTTTTAACTAGTGGTTCTAGATCTTGAGAAGATTTTTTTTCTATCTTTCAATGTAAATATTTACTTCTCTACTTTGTGGCCCATCTCTACCCAAGGGGCTTTGATATGAACAATCAGTAATTTTTGAGAAGAAGTTTAATAAACACCGGTTTTAGCCTTGCTGGTATCTTAATCATCTCCCGTTAGAAGGTGCGTTAACAATTTAGAAATCCTTAATCTAGATGTGTTCACTAGCTCTGCTTAGAACTGATCAGTGACCCACTGGTTGTTGGCAAGATGTTCTAAATGCGAACATTTTACAGATCAGCGGGCGAACGACAGACGACGGGTGGCCATAAATGCTCACTTGCGCTGAAAGCAAAATTAGATTTGCTTATAAAACTTAATGAGAGGGAGGGCGTAAATTATAAGCTCAGTGTTCACAGAAATTCTCATGATAAAAATGCTTATTTCAGTTTCAATTTTCAATTTTATTCATTTGTGCCTTCCACACAACTCACTTCCAACAAATATGTACATTAATGTGTTCTAATATCTCTTTCTGTTCATGTTTTAACAACCCATTGATAAGTCTAATGTCAATAATGAATCATATATGCAAACACACACACACACACACACACACACTCACCCTCACTAACACACACATCAATCTATCAATACACATAATAATTGTATTCTATTACAATTGAATGATGGTAAATTGATTCATTTTTTTTTTACTTTGAAACTATATGGATGTTGGATAACATTTACGTAAACATGAGTAATTATTTAACAGGTCGAGACCACTTGATTTTCTGACGTCAGAATAAATTTGCATGTAAATAAGCTAATATGTTTACTTTACCTACTGCTGAATGAGACGCAATGCATTGTGGGCTACTACAAGTATCTAGCTGTGTTGAAAATTAAAGGCAACTTGAATTGTCCCTTGGAAACTTATTTTCAATTCTTTTTTAAAAATTTGTGAAAGAAATATTTAAAATGATGTATAATCTTTCATTTTTATGCTCACATTTACAAAATTTGCTTTATGAAGCCTTATATCAACTGATAATACATCGGCCTAGTATACCATTGTTTAAAGAGACGTATAAGTGCTATCGTGTCGATAAAACATTGAGTTTTTTTCACGTGATATACGTGTAAATAGCTTTAGCAGGTGGTATATAGGTCCTTGTTTTTAGACAGCAGGAGAAAGTGTGCAATTATTATTTAACCCCTCAATATTATCAGAAAGTGTTTTATGTAACTATATGTAAAAGTCAAAGCATTTGTACGATATTCGAAGCAACTATTAATCTTCTAAAATAACTCCAATATTAAATGTGAGCATGGAGCAGTGTCTTTAGAACATAATCTTTCAATTTCGGGCTAATAAAGTTATATAGAAGCTCTACAGTTTTTCCAGTGACGAGTTACATTTTGTGCAGTAAACCGTCGAAAACCACGTGTAGCCATTGAATCGTAAACATGTGGTAGACTGTTATGCTTTGGGACTCTTTAACTTGATTGGAGAAGGGGCGTGACGAAGACATCGTCACGTGTTGAAAATTGCCTTCCATATAAGGTAGTGGTCTCGACCTGTTTAATTCATAGTTAAAATCATTTACAGAAGTCGGACTCAGAGGTTTCAAATTCTGAGAAAATAAGTATAACATACAATGTCATGTGCTTTGATGAGATATTCTTATTTCAGTACCTGAAAATCTTGCACTATCTCAGTCAAAATGGAACATTTTAGTTTCTATCCTGATGTCAGAGAGTTACAGTTTATCCTTAAATACACAAAGGGAAGAAATATCAAGCAAACTTCAAAGTGCCTTCCCGGTATTAAAGTATGATTCAAGAATGTTGGAGAGTGATATCGTTGAATTGACAGATATCGCTAAAGTATTGAGTAAGGAAAACAACTCAGTCAGATTTATATTAGATGATGTCCGTCATCAGGTGATGAGTTACTTTGTGAGGAATTGTCTGATAACTGATGAGGACTACGAAAATTATATCAAGTTGTCATCAGTGGACTCGTTGTTAGAGTACGTACGGCCATGGTGGTATATGGTACATGAAGAATTCACAGACCTCAAAAAATATCTGTTCCTACCGGAGGCTTTGGAGGATTCATTCTTTCACAGACTTGGATTAGACGTTCTGCGTCACCCCATGATGGATGATAGGCAATGTGATTACGCTACAAAACTTACATTCAGAGAAAAAGCGAAAGACAACTGTGAGTAACACTGCAACCGAGAATAAAAATTCATATTTTTAGGAAAAAAATGTTTCTTAGGCCTTTTAAGGATAATAATATATGATTGTTTAATATAAAAGTTCAGCGTACCAAAAAGAATATCGAATTATTAGGCAACTAAGCATTTAAATGTGAATTAATAAATGTAACTTTTTTTTATTCAAAGTTAACTTACCGGTGGAAATATTTGACTGGGAATATGACGCACGATGTAGATACATAGAATGTGCTAAACGGGGAACAAAGACAGTACATAGAGCGCGTGCGATGATTGTTGGATGCGCAGGTGCTGGGAAAACCACACTTCTAAAACGACTTGAAAAGCTGGGATTAGAGGAATTACTTAAGGTGCGCTCCACTGTTGGACTTGAGGTTCATGAAGACATGTTTGAGCTGGATAAGGACTCTTGTTTAAGAGGTTTGTATAAAATATTTTTTAAAATGCTCTCTTATTCCGTGTGTAAATGGAGTTAACAATGGAATCATCTCCTGAAAAAATTACATGTAATTAATATTTCTAACCTGATTTTTTAATTTAGGCAATGTTGCAACTATCAATCCGCTTCAACAAAAAATGACATTTCTTTGTTTATATTTATGTTTGTGTAAATAATCGTATAAACTGCGTTCATGGAGGCACGAAAAAATCTAATACCGTAAATATGGAAAATTTAACGTCCATTTTTTTTGCGAATTCCAGTCAAAGTGTTGAATAATTTTTACGCTTCAAATTTTTGCGATTGGTCACTGCTTTGTTTACAATTTCTTATTGGTAATTTATTTTTGAGAAAAATATTTTTGCGAATGCAATTAACTCGCTAAATAATATATACAGCAAAAATTGTCAGATTTACAATAGCTTTATGAATAATTTGATGAAGGATCCAAATGCTCATTTTATTTTTTACAAAGGTAGCATTGTAAGACGAGTATTAAGTATTTTACTGATTTAAAAAGTATCTATCATTATAAAGGGAAAAACATTTATTTGATGTAATTGAAAGAAGATAAATTGATTGTTTAGCTGCATATTGTTTTACGTCCCTAAACGTTAGTTATATTTCCTTTTTTTTCAAAAAGCAGAGGTCAGAAAAGCTTATGCTATAATAAGATGTGCTCCGTCTGTCTTGCTGTCTTACGGCCTGTAAATTATTCTTTATTTCTAAATTATACGCAAACATAATTGGTGCAATATTAATATTACTAGGTTTGCATAAGCTCTAATAAGATACACAACTTTGTTAATTTTTTGATTTACTGAATCGTGATACATAGTGACTAGAAATTAAAATCTTTTAAAACCGCTACCCTTTTTTGCAGTTTTAGTCTAAAATCAAAATAACCGTCTAAAAATAATTAATCAATATTCTGTAAATCAGTATATGGTACTGATAAACAATGTTGAAAGAAAGGCTACCAAAACAGAAATTTCATGTAGAAAGTCATGTAGAACTCTTTTCAAAAAGCTACATATCCTACCGTTTTTGTTCGATTTCAAAAAAAGTTTCTTACAAATACCTGTAAATGTCAAAATATACAGTCTAATCTCTTTTAAGTATAAGCTCATGGTGTTGCTCTGCTTACTATTTGTAGAAATTTGAAATACTCTCAAAAGGCTATTTCTATTACAACTTTTGTCTAATTCTGTCAAATTGACGTCAAGAGACTTAAATCAGTAAGTCAAATTGATACTGGAAAATCTGAGTAAAATATTAAGTAAAAATAAAACATACAGAGCGTCGGAATTGATAATTAACATGTTAATATCCGACAGTTTAAGGTTCCTTAAAAGGAAATGTATTATTCAATTTTTGCAAAAAAAAATACAGAATGATTCAAATAGGTTCTAAAATAAGATGTGTAAAAAAAAATGAAACAGTGGTTTCAGATATGTCGGCTATTAAAAAAATTTCAATGGCATAAAATCTAAAAGGTTCAATAGATGACGTCACAATATTTGACCTTTGACCTCTTAAGATGATCTTGACCTTTGTAGTTCATAAAGGATGGACACTTCTTATATATGTTTCCAAATATCAACTCTCTAACAAAGTTACATAGCATTTTATAACAGACTGTTACGTCCAAAATGCAAGCCCCCAAGTGACCAATATATAGGATTCTCTGATTTTTTTTCACAAAATATGACGCAGCCATGCCAAAACTTATTTTCTTACAGGGATCATGCATTGTTGTCAGTATAGTAAAATTATTCTTTTTTCTTCGTTACCTTTTAAGAAATTGGTTGAAATAGAATCCAGGGTTTTTTCTCCTACCTTAACCCAGAATCGTCATTCTATTTTAAATACTGTTGAAATAGTTTCACGTTCAAGTTCTACTTTGTTAAGTAAAAATCAGTGGAGCTACTGTCTCATCGACACAGCTTGTTTTTTTTTTAAATGTAGTATTTCAACATGATGTCACCGTGCTGCGCAGCTGTTGTAACAAACTCATGTACATGTATACTATTACATATTGAGAATATTAACATTTTTATTTAAATTTTTCACACACACACAAAAAAAAAATGTAAGTCATGTTCAACTCAATTTTGAATGAACGTTGACATTTCTTAATAATAATGACATCCATTGATGTAGTTCATTTGATAAAGAAAGTTTCCATTTTCGATTAGTTCATGAAATTGTTTTTACAGCATTATCAGACAGTACAAATAAAGACGACAAGCAGATTCTGAGTGTGGTAGACTTTGGAGGACAGTGTGCCTACTACGCCTGTCATCAGGTTTATCTCAGCAGAAGAGCTTTCTATCTACTGGTGATAGATATGTCAAAGTCTTTTACAGAAAAAGTTGACGAAAATAAATGTGAACAACAGGAGACAATGTTTGCAGATTGGACATATGGAGGTAATAAAAAGATTTAATGATAAGATAGTCAAAGTGTCTTTTATATTTTATTATTAGTATAAAGAACATTTGGTAATTGAAAACGAGAATACTTAGCGCAATAAATATCAATATTGAAGAAATAGCGAACCTCAGTTCAAATTTAGCGATTTAAATATTGTGATATAAGTGATTTATATTTACAACCATTCTTTTTTTGTCCCATATAGATTTCGTTCTTTAATTACACCTAAACAACTATATATTAAGTAAACAACTAGATAATTATGTGTCAGTTGTTCCAACAATGAAACATGCCATAACGTACAAATTGATACACTGTAATATATACTTTACTACTTAGATTCATCATTTTATCTGATCATGATTACTAGTATCTATCCTGTCGCAAATATTTAATATTAATAATTTGTCTTGTTTCCTTAAATGCGGGATTAATGATTGCAGTCAATGCAGAAATAAAATATAAAAAAAATTTCTTCCATACTAAAAACATGTGCCGTATATCATATTCCTCCTCTAATTTTTTTTAATTCTGTACATCCCGTTTTGAAATTAAATTCTATATCATCCGCAAACGATGTTAAGGGGATATACTGGAATCAGAATATCTCTCTGTTTGTCAGTACCTCTAGCTGTCCCTCTATCTGTATATGGGATTTTCTTCGGATCTGTTCTGTTATAAATTCTATTTACACATTTTTCACCTTGTAAAGATATGCACCTGTTCTTTTCATCATGATTTAAAAAAATATATTTTATTTTGTCCGTTGGTGTAAACGAAAACTATTCCAAGGAAGGTTTTCTGTCTCCTTGTTTTCTTTTATAGCATTTATTATTAAGCAGCTGTTACCTGTATCCTTTGGAAATTATACAAACACAAAAATGATGATTTTTTAAATGAAATTTATAGCATATTCCGCTTGTGATTAAAGTCAGTTCGATTAAAGACTATTCTATCTGATTATCCTCTTTCGTTCTTGTGTCTTTGGCAATAGAAGCAATAGAAGGTGATTAAAAAAACTTTCATGCGCTAAGAGTAATGCGTAAATAAAGTTTAACCTTAACCTAATCTGACAAGAGAGTTGTGCATAAAATCTTTGTTAAATAATTGATGTCTTTTTTTCATTTTAAAATATTGGTCAAAGCCATTCAGTTAAGAATATTAACAATTATATTTTGTGTTTTAATTTCAGAATATGTTTTATTTTGGCTGAAATCTATTCACACGTACTGTGCCGAGGACACATCAGTCATCACTGTAGCCACACACTGTGAACATGTTACACAGAAGGTATATGTATACATCCTACATCAGAGTGGAAGTCTTTTTTCTCAGTTTAGAATTGAGGATGTACTGGTACTTTAAAACTGTACAAATATATTTTGCTGCATTAGAATATGATATCATTAAGAGAGCTTGAGGTTACATGTAGTTGAAATCAATGTTTTAATAATGTTATTTTATCATATGAAGGTAGTTCTATACTCGACACTAAATGAGCTCAATCTTGCGAAATCTGCTTTTATAAGAAAGATATATATCCAAGCAATATACAAACATCAGAAAAAGGATATTTCAGCGTGTTATTTTCCCGCTCATCTCCCCCCTCCCCCCGACTATATACCTCGAAATGCAAAATGCTCAAAAAATTACCTGGCCACGAAGTGACTTTATACATGTTTAATAATTCAAGTCTATATTGTCATCTTAAATACATAAAATAGGATAGAAAAAATAAGAAAAGTTAATCAATGTTTTGCTTGAATTATTTTAAATAATATTCCACTTTGTTAGGAAAGCGTGTTAAAATTCATACGAGAAATATTATTTACAGGACAGTATCCGTCATTTTAAATATTTTTATAGATTCAATCTTAAGATAACTGCTTTCCTTGTACATAATTGCATCTAAGATAAAGAAAAAGCTAAAAAGAAATATATGTTGACAAATTTCTGTTCATAATATGGGCTTTGATTTAGAGGTACATCCAAGTATTTTATCTTCCAAGGAAATATTTTGTTCCGTTTTACTGTATTACAGGTAAAGTTTGAATTTAAAAGGTTGTATATATTTAAAACAATACAAACGGACACACGATACTTATATATTATCTCTATTGTTTAATTGTTTAACTGTATAAAAAAAATATTCATTTTTAAAGAGACAATGAATCAGGACGTGATTGAATGATTTTCACAAATTGGATGATCTGTTTAAAAAAGTAAATGTGCTGCAAGTGATTTATTATCCCTTTTATCTAGCATTCTAGCAATAATATTGCATCGTGATTAAATGTGATGGATTTCCAGGGCTGGTAGGGGAGGGTATTCATGAAATGTGATAATTTTCTTAAAAATAAATATTGTAATGTCGGAAATTATCAAATTTGTGATTGTCAGATCGAAGCATTTCCTTTTCCTGCAAACTGTGATCAATGTTAACTTCAACATGTTCAACAACAATAGTCTGGCTGTCGCATCGCTTTGAAACTCGTGGTCTAAATTATCGGCATATTCTCATCAACATATCGTTTATATAATTTCTTTATTACCGTTGCGTATTTCTGTCAATTGAAAGCTATTTCAAGCCTTCTATTTTAAACTGATTTCTCCTTAAATTGACGTTATAAGCAATGTTTATAAGTTTGTTTATACAACTGACTTTGAGCAAAATCGTTATTGGATTTTTAAAGCGCCAAGTAAAAGTGAAACAAATACAGTTCAAAACCACATCTAGGAAATAAGAAGTATGGTTCTGCTTTTACTATACGTTACTAATGTAGTGCGAGTATTTGTCTACTTTAAGATAAAAGTATACATGAAAAAAGGTGGCAGAAAAAATCATTTATTTTATGTTAAAAACAGGGCTTAAATACGTAGACTGATGATAAGATAAATTTTCAACATATACGACCAGTGACATTGAATTGTAGTTCCTTTTTTTTCAAAACGACATGTAAATAGAACAGGAAACCGTAGGTTTAAAAGGAAACATAATTTATTTTTGTGATCCAAATGAGAGAAATTCCTTATTCAGTTATTCTTAACTATTTTTTTCTATTATTCTTTGAATGAACACAATAATTATTTGCCAATCCAGTTCAATTCACAAAAACACAAGCCTTAAAAACTACCCCAGATAATTTTACCACAATTCAGTATTAAAAGCATGCGTTTTGTAACAGATTGGAAGTGCTGCTCAGAATTAATTTTATGTTCAAAGATTTAAAATTTCTATGGGTGCTGACTCAACGTACTCGTTTTTGATTATGAATACAGATGTATTTTTATTTACTGTATATCTTAACTTCTTCCTTTGTCCAGAAAAACTGAAATATTATGTATATATTATATTTTTCTTACAGGAAAAAGACGGATTTTATGGACAGCTCTTGGATTTGCTACCTACAGATTCGAATCTTAAGGAACATTTAAACTATGAGAGGTGTTTCTTTGTCAGCTTTCCTTGTGAGAAAGGTGAAGATTTGAAAGTTTTATCTGAATTAGAAAACTGCATTGCTTCTTTTGCCAAAGACAAGAGATGGAAAGAAGATATTCCAAAAGAATGGTCTATAATTGAACTGACTCTAATCACAATGAGACGTTCAGAAAAGACCTTTCCTATCAAAGATCTCAAAGAGAAATACTGGAAGGCTAAGAAAGATGAAAGTTTAAAAATGGAGGATGCACTATGCTTTTTCCACGATATTGGATTGATTCTTCACTTTGAGGAGGAGAACCTTTCAAATACCATCATAGCTGACGTCCAATGGTTTGTTGATACATTTAAATTTATAATATCAGACAAAAATCATGTCCGGGACTTAGCAAAAACAGACAAAGACTGGCAGTACTTCCACAGGACAGGGTATCTCATGGACAATTTTCTAAGTCGAATTTGGGAGAGCTTATCCATAAAATCACGGGAAAGACCGACCATTTTGCAATATATGCAAAGACTAGGCTTACTTGCGATAGGGAAACTTAAGCATTATGTCCCTTGTATGAATAAAAGAGATTTTGGAAGAAATGAACGAATTGCATTACGAGGAATGGAAACAAAATCTTCCGTGTTAGTGCTTCATTTTCACTTTTTGCCATTCTTCTTTTACTGTCGATTGATAGTTGCTTGCATCGTTGGAACAGAATGGAAGGTGGTAGAGGATGGGGGTATACCATGCTTGTATAAAAACATAGCAATTTTTATATACAAAGACCACCTTATTGCCTTGGTTGTAACTCAAATTGCAATTCAAGTCCAGATTTTGAGACCACAAAACTCACCTATTAATGCCAATATTGCCGTAAATATAAAGGATACTCTAGAAAATAGACTTGGATACTTAACAAGTGCATTCCACAAAAAAGTCGCATATAGAGTTGCTTTTCAGTGTTCAGATCAAGATGTGCTGTGCGATAATGTAGGGTGCTACGTGTATGAAGATGAAATATCTAAGAAAGGTCAAATACTATGTCCAAGACATGGATTTACAAGGAAACACATGATAAACGAAGACGCTCTGACAAAATTCTGGAAAATTGTAAGTGACCCTATTTAATTTAAAAAGAAAATGTCATAAAAAATACCAACTACAAAGTTTAAAAAGCGATGTTTGAACATTGGATATTTCGGAGATATTTCTTGCTATGTTTAGCAAATTCAACTTTAATTATTGAAAAAAAATATGTTAATTATAAAATGATTTGTCAATTATGCTTTGAATGTTGTCATTTTATCCTCAGGATACACCGTCTGTTTCCTGTACTAAATCTGGGAAAGGTGAGCAACTCATTTTAAAAATTGATTTCGTGTAAATAATCACACATGTCTCATATATAATCTTATTAGATATTCTAAAAATGTGTAAAATCATTTAATTTCAAATGCTAATGTGGATTTCGTTTATTACAGTTCCATTGACAAACGACGAGAAGTTGAAAAAGCTTATAGCACTTGGAAAAGATGCTTTGCAGGTGTATTTCGATTCCATTTTTCGATCAGAGGATTTACAAAAATGTCTCAAAGATAACAAGGAATCCCTTAGTAATGGGCCTTATAGATTCACGGCTAAAGAAGTTAGCATTGTTTATCCAGGTAATAATTTGTTACTGATATATACCTTTGATATAAAACAAAAGAATAAACAAAATAAAATGATGTTTTGCCTTTCGATATAGCTGAACCGAATGATATATTAATGATTTTATAATATCATTAACAAAATTAATAATCATCCCCCCTGTCACGTCACAGCTTCCCAGTCAGTTGTGCAGTCTTCTTCCTTTGATATACCCATCATGTACAAATTATTGAGGAATTTCGGAAGCAACGTACCTCAACCGACTAATGGTTGGGGAAAAGAGCCAATCGTTGGACAAAAAACACAGGGTGACGACATTGAAAGAATTCGCAAGTACAGGAATCAGCTTTGTCATAATCATTTCGATAAACATAATATGGACGACAGCGATTTTGTATTTTATAAGGAAGAACTGACACAGGTGAGAATGCAGCCTCTTTATATTCATTATTCAATATATTGTACAGTACGATTTCTCTTTTGGAAATTTTCTTTGGATTTATTTACTCTTCACACAGGATATTGATATATATTTAATGTACATCCATGTGTTAAATATTAAGAGATTATTCTAATTCAAGTCAAGCTTTATTAATTGGAATTATTAATAAAGCTTGACTTGAATTAGAATTCTGATTAATTTTTTTTTCAGGAATAAAACGTTTTGACGAGATGTTCCTCAATAATGTTTTTTTCCATTTGTCAGTGGCAAATTAATACTGAAACATGATTACTCACTAAAAATCGAGATACCTTACCAGGCATTTGTGCAAGATACCAGATTATATTTAACATTTCTTATATAAAACTTTAGGGGGAAAATTTTTCAAAAATCACAATTTTAGTGTTTTGAATTTTTAAAATTAATTAGAAATAGGTTTAGAAATCAGAAAGTAATTACAATTTTGTATATTTTTCATACATTAATGAAGATATACGAAACAGAAATTAGGGGAACATATCGTCTTACCTAAAAAGACTTTTAAATCATATAAAGACAAACAGAAAGAATGAATTTCGGTAATAAGACTCGACACTTTATTTTTCAGGCAATATTAAGACTCACAAATGATTCTTTTAAAAGCAGAATTGACAGCATTTGTCAATAGACAACAAAGGTAAGCGTTTTCTAACATTGATAAATTCAAAATAGCTCTCCTTATGTACATGTAAGATGTCAGATCAAGTCGGATATACGCTTTAAGCTGTTTATTCGAGTTTTAAATCTTTCATTGTTGTAAACACTATTTTTGAGTGATCTTTAAACAGTTGTTTCAAAAAGGATTTTACAAGTGTAAAACAATGATACGATGCAGTGTTTTTTAGGCAAAGAAGCAACAAGACAGAATAAAAGATAATACTGAGAGAGGATAAGCAGGAACCAAACGACGATTGAGAAATTAACATTTAAACATTCCTGTTGAAGTTCTATTGATCTGGTCTTCCATTAAATTTTCTTTGTATAATTCATGATATAAATGATAAAAGTCAATTATGTCATTGATGTGATAATCAAGTTTGTAATTTATAATGATTAATGATGAAAATAAATTACATGTACATAATTATGAAAATCAAGATTTATTCCATGATTACCCCTTTATCCCGTTGATATAGTGCATGTGATATCGTTTTGGTATCAACAGTAGTGACGTCACAATGGGTATTGCGTTAGGGTAACAAAGAAAAATAAAGTGGAGTCCTATAAAACAGTGTAAACATTAATTGTGGCTTATAAATCAAAATGTAAAAGATGGGTTAAAAAGAACCTCACACGAGTTGCTGATTTTTATCCAACTAGTTGTGTGTTTTTATCACCTCGCCAAGGCTTCGGGATATAAAACATCCAACTTGTTGGATATAGATCATATCAACTACAAACCATGTGTGATCCTATATTTTTCATTTTTATGACTATTTAAAATGTTAAAAACGTTTTTTTTTTATTTATACACAACCATTCCCCACGATAACTTAAAGTCCAGGCTTTTCGATATCATTGAGAGCTGGTTTTTCAATCAAATGGAATTCGTAAAAACAAAATTCTGCAAGTACACACACAAGTCGACATCAGAAAGATTCTTGAGTTTCTGATTGACAACGTCTATGCCGTTTTAGCGACCAGGTCTTTAAAAAATCTATTGGAATCCCTATGTGTACCAATCGTGCCCTGTTATTAGAAGACTTATTTTGTATTCATATGAAGCAGATAAAAGATACTACAGAGTCTGACACATCTGTTTCATATTTGGATATTTTACTTGACAAATACATTAAAAGTAATCTAACAACCAAGCTCTGTGAGAAACGGGATGGCTTTTACCTTTTCTATCGTCAACTTCCCTTATTTATGCAACAATATATCTGTACCAAAGTTGATTCGATACGCAGGAGCATGCTAGACGCATGAACAACATCTGATAGAAACAAAAAAGAGGGGTCGATTTTGTTCAATAATTTTGTTTGAAAATCATCTTATACGAAGTAAATTGACAAACTAGTTGAGGAAACAACCAGTCGTCACGTTTAAAGTCATCATTTCAATACAATGACATTGTCAGCAAATACACTTTATCATTGAGTAAAATACTGATCTGACTGACGTTTTTCATTCTTATAGTTAGTCTTTTATTTATAAGCTGAATTGACGACGGATTTTTCCGTTATTTCCCCATCATGACAAGGAGAACACAGCGGGTATGACCGGTCAGTAGGGGGTGCTCACTTCTCCCTGGTACCTTATCCCATTTCTGATTTTTTGGAGGTCCGTGTTTGCTTCGCTCTTGTTTTGTATTGTTTAAATGACTTTTGATCTTGAATACTGTTTGTTATCTCCAAATATTTAATTTTACTAGCAAACTTCGTGGATACTTAAACTTAAAAAGTAACATGTATGGGACTAACAGATAAGTTCAAATGTTAATCAAATAATGGGCAAAGGTGGGGTCCATTAGAGGAGGAGGGTGGGAAAACAAAAAAATCGTTAAAAAAATTCTCTGTGATGTTGCACTCCTACCAGGCTAAAGTTACATAAAGAGAGGACATTATCTTTCAGCCAATCAAAATTCAGTCTTGCTAAGAGGTAACATACGGGCATTAGCTTTGGTTAAATAATAGATGTTCCCAACAGGTTACAAAAAAAAAATGTACAGTTGTTAGCATAAAATCATTTATTACATAAATTGCATTTAAATATTTGAATGGTTTTCCAATGAAAGCGACTCTTTATGAGCCAATTAAAAATATAGCCTAAACGTCTGTTGGTTTCTCAACATTTGTGTCCTGATCAGGGTTTTGATATTGTTTTTTTTTCTTAAAAAATTAATTTAATTGGTTAAGAATTCATTTCGCATTCATTTGATGAATCACGTTTTTACAGTAAAGATACATGGCTGTCTGACACAAATTGAAAATGATTACAAGATTTTAGATTGGAAGGTCATGGGTTTTACAGCTAGATGACGTCATATCGCCGAACGTCCCCTGTCTCCCTGTTCCGAGTATAAGTCTTCAGCGGTTATAGGTTGCGACGTTTAAAGATTTTCTATTAAACTTTTCTGTGTAGCATTAAAAAAAATGTTGTTTTGGAGCATGCCTAATGCATGATGAAGTATCAAGTGAAAAATATAAATGATTGGAAAATTTATTTTAAAAACAACTTACAATATTCATCTGATTTAAGGTTTTTGTTAAAAAAAACATGCGCATGGACTGAAAATGTACATTTATAGGAAACCTGGTGAACACTTTTCGTGCCGTGGGGCCTCAGTTTCAAAGGACTAATCCGAAGTACCCTTTAAGTTCACTCTGACAAGCCGAGGGCACGAACTAGGAATCTTTGCTACATCATTTATATTTTATCCACTTAGTTAACTCAATCGTTTTAAAAATACTACTTGTAAGTCTTACTGACAGAGATACTGTTACATGTACTGTTAATATCAATCGTGATCGTGATTATACCCACACTTTCTAAAGAAAGTTCGGGTATATTGTTGTTACTCATGTCCGTCCGTCCGTCTGTCACACTTTTCTTCCCTGAACTCCTCTTACATTTTACACAGTAGCTTAATCATCTTTTGGGAGATGGTTGGTGGGGTCATGTAGATGTGCAGTAAGGTTTCGGAATTTTGATTTTGCCCTGGGGGGTCAAATGGGGGTCGAAAAATGACGTTTTTTATGCAAAAAGTCCCGTCTTCCCTGAACTCCTTTTACATTTTACTCAGCAGCCTAACCACCTTTTGGGGGATGATTGGTGGTGTCATGTAGATGTGCAGTAAGGTTTTGGAATTTTGATTTTGCCCTGGGGGGTCAAATGGGGGTCGAAAAATGACGTTTTTTATGCAAAAAGTCCCGTCTTCCCTGAACTCCTTCTACATTTTACTCAGCAGCCTAATCACCTTTTGGGGGATGATTGGTGGTGTCATGTAGATGTGCAGTAAGGTTTCGGAATTTTGATTTTGCCCCGGGGGGTCAAATGGGGTCGAAAAATGACGTTTTTTATGCAAAAAGCCCCGTCTTCCCTGAACTTCTTCTACATTTTAAACAGCAGCCTAACCAGCTTTTGGAGATGGTTGGTGGGGTCATGTAGATGTGCAGTAAGGTTTCGGAATTTTGATTTTGCCCCAGGGGGTCAGATGAGGGTCGAAAAATGACGTTTTTTATGCAAAAAGCTCCGTCTTCCCTTAACTCCTCTTACATTTTATTCAGCAGCCTAATCATCTTTTGGGAGATGGTTGGTGGGGTCATTTAGATGTGCAGCAAGGTTTTGGAATTTTGATTTTGCCTCGGGGGGTCAAATGGGGGTCGAAAAATAATGTTTTTTATGCAAAAAGCCCCGTCTTCCCTGAACTCCTCTTACATTTTACTCAGCAGCCTAATCATCTTTTGGGAGATGGTTGGTGGGGTCATGTTGATGTGCAGTAAGGTTTTAGAATTCTGATTTTGCCCCGGGGGGTCAAATGGGGGTTGAAAAATGACGTTTTTATGCAAAAAGTCCCGTCTTCCCTGAATTCCTTTTACATTTTACTCAGCAGCGTAACCAGCTTTTGGGAGATCTTTGGTGGTGTCAGTTAGATGTGTAGTAAGGTTTCTGAATTTTGATTTTGCCCCAGGGGGTCAAATTGGGGTCGAAAAATGATGTTTTTTATGCAAAAAGCCCCGTCTTCCCTGAACTCCTCTTACATTTTACTCTGCAGCCTAATCATCTTTTGGGGGATGGTTGGTTGGGTCATGTAGATGTGCGTGCAGTAAGGTTTCGGAATTTTGATTTTGCCCTGGGGGGTCAAATGGGGATCGAAAAATGATGCTTTTTATGCAAAAAGCCACGTCTTCTCTGAACTCCTCTTACATTTTACTCAGCAGCCTAATCATCTTTTGGGAGATGGTTGGTAGGGTCATGTAGATGTGCAGTAAGGTTTCGGAATTTTGATTTTGCCCCGGGGGGTCAAATGTGGGTCGAAAAATGATGTTTTTTTTATGCAAAAAGCCCCATCTTCCCTGAACTCCTCTTACATTTTACTCAGCAGCCTAATCACCTTTTGGGAGATGGTTGGTGGTGTCATGTAGATGTGCAGTAAGGTTTTGGAATTCTGATTTTGCCCCAGGGGGTCAAATAGGGTTCAAAAAATGACGTTTTTATGCAAAAAATCCCGTCTTCCCTGAAATTCTCCTACATTTTACACAGTAGCCTAATCATGTTTTGGGAGATGGTTGGTGGTGTCATGTAGATGTGCAGTAAGGTTTCGTAATTTTGATTTTGCCCCGGGAGGTCAAATGGGGGTGGAAAAATGACGTTTTTTGTGCAAAAAGTCGTGTCTTTCCTGAAGTCCTCCTTAATGCTATTCAGAAGCCTAATCATCTTTCAGGAGAGTTAAATATTTTGAAAATTATGTAAAACATGAACGTTAAAGGGTAAAAAAGCATCGCATGCTGGGAAACACCTTGAATTTTTATGAGTAATAAATGTACATGTCAAATGTGAGGGTCATATCTCATCTCAATCAAAAGTTATAAGCAAATGCAACATTATTGAAAAGTAGGTTAGGCTTCAAGGTCAAGGTCACAGAGTAAAAGTCATGATTCATTTGGAAAGGTCTTATCACAGGTAATAATATACATGCATTATAATATGAATGCCCTAACTTTTCTCTTTCAAAATGATGAATTTATAACAATTTAATTTTTTTGCAAGTAGGTCAAACTTCTAGGTCATATTTAAAAAAAAAAACATGCCATTCTCACACGTAAATACTAGTACATAAGTTTAATATGAATGCCTTGTCTCTTCTCATTCAGTAGATATGACCGTGATGACCAAGGTTAATTTTATTCAGACAGAAGGACAGTCTGACATACAAATGTACATATTTCTATATGAATTGCATGGGTAAAATTGGCCCAGTGGTTCTAGAGAAGTTAAAAATGTAAAAAGTTTTCAGACAAACAGATTGACGACATGTCACGACAGACGTT